GGGCTGAGCGGCCCCAGGTGAAGTTATATGACATGGAGGCAGGTGGGCTCAAGAGAGACACACCCAAGACAGACACATGGGGAAGAAGGCCACACTTTCTCCTCGGCTTTGGACTTGCACCAGGTACCTGGAGGGCATTGGGCGAGAGATGTGAGAAGTAACCTCCCCTGTCCAGACGCCAAGAATGGACTCAGAGACTTGAGTACAACAGGAAGTGCACATCTTGTTGGGCAGGCACCGGCCCATGGGCCAGCGTGACAAGGACACTTTCATTAAGCTCATATACCCTAATGTGCAGGTCCCTTTCCCCTTTTCTCCTTAATAGTAACGGAGTACTGAGAAGTTAGTCTCACCCACCTAAATTCCTTCCCACAATCGGTAATGCACACTAAATCCTTTCTGTTTGTTTCTTTGGGGGCCATTTGGCATGCTTTATGTTATCTCAGTGAAGCCCGTCTGGGTTTTAACGGGGTGTTTTCCTGGGTGATTTCCGGTTCTACTGTGGGATCCTGCATTCCAGGGGCTGCCACCTTTTGCAGCTCTCTGCAAAGGGGGCAAGGACAGCACTCTCCCTTTCACCTGGAGACAGAAAACCGACTGAGCAGTATGTCTTTCCAAGAAAGAGGCAGACAATGGCAGCCATTATCTGGACTTGATTTTGCTTTTCTCCTCCTAGGCTTGCCAGGGCCCTTCTTGTGGCCTCGGTGACTCTTTGCTTTTCCCTGTTTGTTAACTAAACCCCACTATTGCTGTTCCCCGAACCTGAGTACTCATTCAGGTATGCACACGGGTGAGGAACTCAGGCAGTGACTACTAAACTACTTGGGCAGTGTCTGTGGCCAGTTTTAGTGCCTCTCGCTGCCCTGTATCACAGTGATTCTATTAAAGCTCTTTCACACTATGCATGCTTTGTTTCTGTGCATGCATGTGGCTGGACCCATTAGAGTGTGTAAGTCTGGGAGACCTGGGATACCCCTCAGCCTACCTGCTAATAACAGCAAGGGGAAAAGAATACCCTTACAAAGCTGAAAATAATTTTGGTTGATACTAAGAAAATTTAAGTTAGGCGCAACACCTTTGTATGCAACAGTCTTATCCTTAACCTTCAACAAGGAAAAAACCCCAAACTCTTGCAGTGGTATTGCATGCCCAGTCATGGCTCTTGAAGTGAATCATCATTGAACATTTGAAAACACTTAGCCATGACAGCAGTTAGTTAAACAGAGATTAGTGAATTGCCTTTATCTAAAATTTGCTCTTGATGACTAACAGGTGGTTACAGCTTAAAGCTAGGTATGAAGGCTAAACTCCCACCTACAAAGAGGACTTCAAATCATTATCCTGACTGATGTTTTACATTTCAAAGAGAAGAACTCAAGGTCATTAAAAAAGACCTTTCTGGACTGCTCTGCTGCCAAGGGCTTATGCAGCCCTTAAAAAAGAAAAGGTTTGCACGTATCTCAGAGGGACTGATGTCTTAGTTCTTGTCTTGTTTTTTGGAGTTGGTGGGTTTGGAGTGCGGGGTCCTGGGCTTCACTCTGGGAAAGGTTTCCCCAGAGCTCCCGTTTCAGCGGCAGGCGGCAAGTTTCCTGGCAAGTTTCTCCAGGAGACAGAGACATTAGTGCTATTTAAAAGGACAGGTTCATTAGGGAAAGGGACAGCAGAGTAAAAGACACTTGCATAGACACCAGTGGGCAGGAAGAGCTGCCCCGAGAGGGACAGGTTTGCTGAGAGGCCTGCCGGGTTGCAGGTGGGCGGCCTTGAGGAGAACGGCCTCCGCTGAGGGAGGTCAGTGAGGAGAAGCCCTGGCAGGTACAGGTCATGGGCAGGCTGCCCTGCAGAGGAACAGAGTTGGTGACAGGAGCACCTGCATAGTCACAGGTGGGCACTGGGAGTGCTGCTCAGGGCCTGTGCAGAGACTGCACTGATAAAGTCCTTTTCTTTTTGGGAGGGGTCACTCCTCTGTGAAGTGACCTTTTTGTTGCCAGTTTCGAATAACTAGACAAAATTACAAAATTAAAAGGGACCAGAGAGTCCAGGATGGGCCCAATCTCCATATCTTTACCCTCAGGCCTGTGCTCCACTCCCTGTAGCAGTCCTTACTGCTACCCGTACCTGCTTAGGTGTTACGCCTCTGATAAGGCACTGGCGCCTAAGGGTCCCAACCTCTACAGCTGGGTTTATGGTCAGGTTATTTCCCTCAACCCCCATCTCCTGTGAGTCAAGTTCTGGTGTTGGGACACCTCCTTTCCAGTCTTTCCATTCGTGTCCTCCATCAGGAGCAGGGAAAGAATTTACAAGTCTTCTAAAATAAATGCTCCAGAGGAGCATCTGAGAGTGCCTTTCTTATTTGGCAACAAGGGAGAGACAGCTTTATGTTTTCTTTAGTCTCACAAAACTTCCTGGACAAACAGGAACATCTTTACCAAAAAGTAGTTTAGAACGATTGCTTTTGTTTTCACGAAACTTCACTGTCACCCTCATTTAATCTAACAATTTTGTGTGGCCTCAATCAAAATAACTATCAGAATTCTTTTGTCATTTGAGTTATAATACAAGTTTCAAAACCAAAGTCCAAAGTGTGTGTAACCGAGAAACTGAGGAAGACCAATGGGGAAATACACGGCTCTTTCAGGAAATAAAACGTAGACTTATAATTTTTAATTATCACTACATACCTTAATTCTAATGTTAAGATTTCTAGAGAGTACCAGCAATCCCAACTTGGTGAGCATGGATGGAAATCTCATAGAGCATGGGTGGAAATATGAAATGGTACCAAGTCGGAAATATTTGTACACAGGTCCTTTACAGACCTGTGACCCAGAGATTTTAACCTGTTGTTGGCCCAAGTGAATAGAAAACATGTGCACACAGATGTTAGCTTGATTATTCCCAGCAATTTTATTAATGAAATCCTGAAACTGAAAACAACGTACATAAACGTTCAATTGGGCTTAGAGCAGAAAATGTGGGGTGGAGGCTTCACATGGTCACTGAAGGTGGGGGTAGAATTGATCCACATGGTCATTAAACCTGCTATAGAAATGAAAAATACCTAGGCAGGGAGTGCTTTTGGAAATGTCTGTAGGCACTGACCAGAGGTGGGGCCACTACAGAGAATCATGGGGTCCTGGTCCTTACAAATTAACCCAGTCACAGCCTGGATGTGGTTCAGTGCATTATAGATAGCAATTCCACAGAGGAATGAACGTTTCTCTGAAGGAAGAACTCTCTATCAGAGAGAGTTCTGGCAAAAGGCAGCTCTTTCTGCCCACTTGTGTCCGTAGAAGCTTGCTCTGCCTTGCAGTCTTTTACTAAACCTAACCTCTTTGGATATAACTGAATACTTTTGTGTCTTTGGCAAACCCACCACGGGCCACTGAAAGGGAAGTTCTTGGTGTGCTTTTCTCAGAGGGCTTCTGAGGACCTTGCTCACTGGACCCCAAAATCTGATCACATGACATCATCTGGCACCAACTGTGGGGACTTAAGGTTGCCAATAATATGCGGGGAGGTACATACAGTTGTCTTTACTGTCTCTCTCGAAAGGCATTGTTTGTTCAGTGAGTGTCTCACGGCCCTCAGAGAACTGGCAGTCCCTGGGCAAGCACAGTCTTTGGTGGGTCCCAAAGTGTGGGGGAACTGCCTTCTGGTTGTCCTCAGCCCCACTGGGCTTACAATTGGCTCCTCTGTTTCCCTATTTAGTCTCTTCTCTCTTAGTAAAAGCCAATACTTCTTCTTTCCCTTGAGAAGAGAGGTGCCTCTTCACCTGTTTTCAAAGCAGGTCTCTTGTCAGGAGGAGGGCATGGGAAAACCATTAGGGTGGCTGCCACTTTGTAGAAGACTCCTGTGAGAGATTAAGTTGGTGTGTACCCTGGATTAGTTCTATCCCCTGAGCCAAAAGACAAAGGCTGTGACATCTCAGGAACTAACCCTAAGCATTCCATACACGCCTCACCCCAGGGGTTTCTGCTTCTACAGTTTTAGTCTAAGACTTGGCTTTTGCAAATCTTTCCTCTGTGTGGTGGATTGTCCTCCTTCTCTGGCTTTTCCGTAGTCTGTACCTTTATCCTTTGCCACTGAACAAACACCCAGCCTAAGAAGGGTTTTCTCATGTCTGACCAGACCCTCACCCACACGTTCCACAGCCAAGGCCATGACCCCTCCCTGATATATCCTACTTTTAAGTGTCCCTCGTACCACCAGTATTTTCAGAGGCTTCTACCCTTGCTACTGGGATGACATTTTCTCTCCTGGGTTGATAAGTGGGCTCATCTTTAATTCAAGATTCAAATCCTCTTCAATATTTAACCCACTTAATCCACTACAATCACCTCCCTCTCCCCAGAGAAGACAACTAAAAGCAGGAGTTAGTGAATAGGGCTGGGGATGCTCAGGCCAAGAGGAGTCCCGTCCTGAAGTGGATATGCCCACTATATAGGACTATACCCCACAGGCTGTGCCCATACTTCTGTGACAGACTCAACCAGAAGACACCCATTTATAATAGTGGCTGCTCACTCGTTGCAATACAGGGCAGCAAGGGGCGCTGAAACTGGCAAGGACACTGCCCAAGTAGCTTAGTGTTCACTGTCTGAGTTCCTCATCGGTGTGCACGACTGCAAGGCTACTCAGGTTCAGAAAACGGCAATGATGGGATTTACTTGACAAGCCAGGGCAAAACGAAGAGTTACTGAGGCTCAGATGGCTGTTTACCTCACCCAAAGCAGTGTCCAGTGTTTCTACGTTCTAAACAAAAGCATCTAACGGGGTGTCTCCCCGCCACTGCTCTGGCAGCCAGACTCTAGGCCAGGATCCAACTCACAAAGACAGCAAGAGATACAACAGAAGATGCTCCGGAGCTGTGGAGACGCCCCAGCGCTGCACCAGACAAGCAACACTCAAAACAGCAGCTGCAGCGGCCCAGTGACCTGACAAACTGCCACGCTCACAGCTCAGCGAGGCTCCCTGCTCCGGGTCTCTGCCTTTCCTGCCAGGCTGTGGCCACAGCAAAACCGGGAAGAGTTTCAGTCGCTCTGCTGCATGCAAAGCTTCTGATCTCTTCTCTGAGATTGGCTGCTGGAGGCCTCCACCTTCAGAAGCCCACCAAGGCCTTCTGGAAGATCAACGGGCTGGGGGCAGAAATCGCTGACCCTGAAACGCAGGAGATCCGAAACTGCTGCGAATCCTGGGGCCTGCAGCAAGCCCTTATATTTCTTATCAGACCCTCCACCCCAGCAGTACTGTTTGTGTTTTCCCTGGGGCTCCCCATCCTCACTAGCATCCCCCTCCAGGGGGCACCACCGGTTAACAGTCTTTGACTTCAGTCACAGGTTATACCTGGACAGCTCGCAGTTTACCAGTGGTTACCCTCTCTGCAAGTACTCATCAATGTGGGGGGTGAGGAGGGGAAGGAAGCTTGCTCACTCCATCCCTATGACTGTCCTTGGGTTGCCTCTTGAAAATTTGGAAGGAGTGCCAGCTTGAGAGGAAAGACCTTGATTCATTATGTTAATTCAGCCTGCCTCTTTACAAATTAGACAACCAAGAGGCATGGCCAGCCTCACCTATACCATTCTCCAACCAGAGCTGAGGCAAAAGGCAGAAAAAAAATGCAGGGGAGTAAAGTGACAAACACCACCATAGCTGACTTACGTTGGGGCTGACTTTGTTCACAGCAAGCAGCTGCCTGGACCTTTGCTGTGAAGGATGATTACTGGTTGTTTGGAAAAACTTCTAACTTGCTTATTGGGTCTGTGTAAACTTTAGTTTCTGATTAAAATAAGTTAATTTGGTGAAGGAGAGAGGTGGAGAGAAAAACGGAGCTTTTTGTGGGCTAACTTCCAACCTCAGCTGCCTGATTAGGGTCAATGAAGTGCTAAATAAGAACTTTTAATCTATCACCTCTATTGTCCTTCTCATATTCAATGAATAAGGGGTTCTTTTGTCTTAGAAATGGTTCTGGTCCCAGTAAGGTACAGCAGAAACAAGGACTTTTGGAGGAAATCTGAATTTCCTCCACTTATCTTTTAAATAGTTCTTAATCTTGGGCCTCAGAGGTCTTTGTTAATGGTTAAAATTGGAGACTTTTTCTATCAGGTAAGGATTTTAGCTTCTCTCTCATTGGAAACCCCCTTGATGGAAAAACTATATCAGAGGAGAGAGCTTAGCCACATGGCTAAGCAATAAACTAAGCAATAAACTAAAAGGCCAAAGCTTAAGATATTTCAGCAAATAGGTTGGTTGAGGTGCCGTCTAAGCCTCTTCCAGAAA